TTTGCCACTGACAGAGGAGTACTGGGGAAAGCTGGAAAATGTATGTAGGGGTGTGTGAGCCTGCTGGAGCATTTCAAACAAACTCTTCTGAAGATCTCAGATTTGAAATGAAGAAAAAGAGAGCTCTTACTCAGACGGACCTTCTGGCAGACCAGAAGAGCCAAGTGCACAGATAGAGCAGGCAAACAAAACTTCCCTCTCAGAAGCCCAATTACTGGCAAGTGCACCAAACCTACGGTGAGACTCCTGCTCCTGACAGTAAATCCTCTTGCCAAGATTGATTAGAGCCGTAAATGAACAGACAGCCAGGAAATACCCAAGGTGAAGAGAGACTGCAAATCCCCAAACGTTACTATTAACAGTTCTACGGAAAAAAGACTTTGCTTTCCCAGATCTGACAGGAAAGGAGGCCACGCTTTGCTAAGAATTGTACTGGGGTTCCTATGGGAACTCAATGCTGGAAGGCACTTTAATGACACCAAGTCCTGTCCCCTACGGCTCTGTAACTGTGTCACAGCCCTTCTCGTGGATAATCACTTTCCATTCTGAGTGTGGAGGTTTTTGATCCCTGTTCTTCTACTAAAGGCTGTTACAGAGCCTGAAGCCTGCTTTGGAATCTACTCCTTTAAAATAAAGCTAATGCAAAAGTAGAATGAATGGGAACAATCCAAACTAGGGATCTGTCAGTATGAACCCAGGGATCGCTGGAAGCAGCAGGATTTGCTTCTCGATGGAGTTTCCCATCCTGTCTGAAAGCAGCTCGATCAGTGGCAGCACCCAGAGCCAAACCCAGCAGCTCCATGTGGGCTATCAGAACACCTGCACTGGGTGGCTGAACAACTACCTCATGGTGTTAGGTCCCAGTAAGTTTAATGAGCAACTGCAGGTTAGATGTGGGCTCTGAGTCACTGCCCTGCCTGAGGCAGGTTTCCAATGTATTCAGTGCAGACTTCCAACGCACCATGCTTTAACTTAGCGTGCCAGTCTGTGACTGCAGTGGCTGAGGAGCTCTTCAGCAGATGCAGATGAAGCCAAGAGGGAAAGTGAATCAGAGCCCTTAGCAATCAGCCTGTCTCCTTTCCCAACAGGACAACAGGACAGATGCGGGCTATCTTAGCACTGGCTCAGCCTGGTTATGTGACCCTCCTGATGAAAACCCCTGAGCAGAAGCAGTTGAGTTTCACAATGAGTCTGAAGCTTGTTCCGGAGCGATAACGGGATCAAAGCAGGACTTCTTTTATGCTCCCAGATTTTTCTCTTTCACAGTTAATGGGCTCTGCCCTGCCAGATCACCTCCCTGCGCTGGGAGCCATCGGTGCCATCAGTGCTGGCTCTGCTCAGAACCTCAAGGCGTTAATAATCCTTCTCCCCACCCCCTCATTCCCCCCCTCCCCCAAAAGAAGGAATTTTGCTGGATGTGGAGGGAATCCAACAAATCACAGACAGAAGGTTTCCTCTGCAAGAGGAAATCCTGCCTAGCTCAACACAACCACCTTCCTCATCGCTCAGCCACGAATTTCAGGGCATAGAGAAGCAATTAAAGGATATTATTAATAGTTCTGGGTGGAATGGAAATAGCAGCTTTATTGGAGAAGATCTCACAAGTTACACACAGCAGAAATTAACCTTAATTCCTACTGATATCACTATTCCCTTAAGTGCAGTTGCACGGCAAGGCAAGAGGGCTATACAAACAATTAGAAGTACAACAAATGCCTTAATGAACTTCAGTTATTGTTTCTCTCCAAGCCCCTTACGATGCAGGATTTCCCAGATACACTGATTAAACTGCCTTTGGCTGTAAACAAAGCTTGATGTGGAGCTGCAGAGATTTCCTTGATGGCATTCTCCTCTTTTTCATCCGCTCAAACCCTTTGTTTCAGCTCTACACAAAAATTCCCATTGGGTTAGAATGCACTGACTCATCAGTTAAAGCTATCAGCTGCAAGAAAGAAATCCACTCTCACATCATCATACAATCAAAGAAGGGCCTGGGTTGAAAAGGACCACAATGACCATCTAGTTTCAACCCCCTGCTATGTGCAGGGTCACCAACCACCAGACCAGGCTGCCCAGAGCCACATCCAGCCTGGCCTTGAATGCCTCCTGTGGTGGCACTGAATGGCCACACTCTTAGCTTCACCTGCCTGCTCCATCAGGGTGACACAGCACGCAGCCCGTGGGAAGAACTGCTTGTGTGTGCTCTCCCCACAGTGAGTTACTGGCAGTGCCCACAGGCTGTGCGAAGGACTTATTTCGTTGGGTTTATGTGAGATCAGCCTGTCAGTTTTCCACCTCTCTGGCCACCCTTTCAGCCATGTAGCTGACAGAACCCATCCCAACCTCTCAGCACGCTGTTTTTGTCCCTGTACTGAAGCCTGTGCATCTCTGTTTCAGTACTGCCTTGCACCATGCAAGCATGTTCATTAAGCCATCCAAGACAAATACATCAGGTTTGACTGCAGAACTACAGCTGGGGCACCAACCATGGCTGAGCGGGGCACCCAGACACACGTGCATAAAGAAGAAGCTCCTCCTGCTCCCTCTGCTGTGCAGCATCCTGGTAGATAAGCCACAGCTGCCCTGGGGACAATGCCAGCCCTTCTCTGCCCTGCTGCCATGTGGAGGCAGGATGCTGGCATTGGCTTGCACTAAGTTTGTCTCCTTCCCTGAAGGAAGGAAGGTGTGCATTAATTCGTCACCCCTTGTGCATTTTTACAGCTCTTAACTCCATCCTAAGGTGCCAATGCAATCTAGGTGATCTCTCTCTCAGATCTTAACTCCTAAATTTTATATACAGGCCAGTGTTTATAGGGCAACTGTCATAAGCCCACATTTGTACCAGAAGCAAGTCCCATTACTATTTTCTTCCTAATTCTCTGTGTCAACCAGGAACGATTTTATAGAGTATTTATTTCAGCCCGAAGATTTCCAGTTCTTCCTCGCACTGAATGCACAGTGTGTTTTTGGTCTGATCTTTTCAGACACATGAATAACGATCCCATTTCATGCTGTCATCGCAATTATTTATCTGCGCTGGGGCTTTCCAAAGAAAAGGCTCATTATTTCTTTTGTCAGAGATGCATTGAGAAACAAGTGCTCACATGTGGCACGGAGGAAACAGTCTTCCCATCTCTCTACTACTTAATGACAGGATGAAAAAAAAGACATTAAAATAAACTACAGACAGAGGCCATGCAATGCTCTGCTGCTTTGTGGTATGGGAAGTGAACCCAGCTGTCCGTGCAGCCAGGTATCACTGATGCACCCCAAAGTTGAAGCGGATGTTTCTGCCTGGTGGTTTACGTTGGTATCTCAGTTTTAAGTCATCCTGCTGTTCTCAGCAACAGCAACACCAGCCCAGTGATGAAACTTAAGGAACAACAAAACCCAGAAGCCTTAACGTCCTTCTGTACAATAACCTTCAACTCTTATCTGGCTTTCTGGCTTCCAGTTCACCAGCTCAGTGTTTTGCCTAAGTGAACTCATGTCCATGTACCACTGAACACCAAATGAAAGCTATGCCTGGACCCAAGCCATCTGCAAAGGGAAAAGCTGCAACTGTGAAGTCAAATGGATCGAAAGCCCTGAATTAAGTCCTTGTTTAGTGCCGAGGTAATCTGTGCTGCTAAACCCAACCAAAACAGCTCTCAGCCAGAAGACACAGGGGGTGTCTGCACTGCGTTTAATGACCCTGACGCAATTAATGCCCTTAACTTATGGTCTCCAGACTCTCTGGGTCACCCAAAGGCCAGTGCAGTCACGTAGGCTGGTCATTACACAGGACTGCAGGAGGACGTGCCATCAGCAGCCACCTCTAATCTCCTAATAAGAACTTGACTGTGGCAGTGGTTTAAACCAGCCTGATGGCTTTCGTTCAGAAAAGGCTGGAGAGGTGTTCACACCTCTTGGGCTGCCTTTGGACTAGAGAGAAGACTAAAGCAGTGCCTACAGCCTCACAGCCCAAGAGTCTCTGTCATCCTGTGGCCTCATACAGACCTTGCCAACAACAGCATGGCAGTGACTGATAGGCAAAGGTTCAAGGATGAGGCTGTGCATGCAGCACAGGTGTCACACTGGGATCTTGAACAGAAGGGGACTGAAAATGCTTCAAGTGTGAAAATACTTTAAGTACACGGTACTTTAAAGTTTTCTGCCAGTACAAAAAGCTTAGGAAGATACAGCCCCCACCCCAGGACATGTAGCACGGTTCCCATGTGCAACACATATCTGAGAGTAGAGGAAGAGCCCCGTGGCTGATCAACTCCATCTGCACTGCCTTCCTTCAGCAGCAAAACACGGGGCTCTGCAGGGCTGGCTCCTAACGTGGTCATTTTCAGCTGCTGCTCTATTTAAAAGAAGCGATTTCAAGCAAATTCTTACTTTTTCCTTTGTCCTCAGCCTCTCTCATTCCCTGAGGAGGTTTACAGACTCAGTCATGGGCTGCGTGAAAAGAAAAGTGAGCAGAAGCACTGCTACCTACAAACCCTGCCGGCACCTCCCAGGTTCTGCCAACACACAAGGCAGACTTCCACCATGGACAGACGTCCTCCAAACCGGTACAAAAGGCCACCCTGGTCTCAGTGCCACATGAATTAGCACTCTTGGTGACATTTTGCACGCTGAGCGTTTCCAGCTCACGCTCTCACCTTCAACCGCCAAATTATGCTCAGCTTCTACCCAAGGCAGCTGCAGCACTTTGTGGCTTTGGGGGCAGTGTTCATCACAAAACAGGAATTTGAAACAAGGAAGGAAGTTCATTCTAATGTCAGGGTTTTTTTAATCCTTTCATCATGTTTTCTGAAGCTGTTTGCATCAGTGGCAGCTCCTCTCTCCTCCAGCAAAACATAGAAGGAGCTGAGGTAGCACATGCAGCAATAGGAGGGAATCATATCTAGCAGCTCTTCCCAGCCCTTCCTACTCTTTCTTAATGACTTCATTCCAGTAAAAATATTCCAGCCAGCTCTTCTTCATAGTAATATTTGGCACCTTTCTTCCAGATGAGAAGGAAACGACAACTGCCCATGAGCCCTGTTCTCAATCCAGTGGTCCAGACAAAGGGTGGCTGCACAGATGGAGGCACCAAAACCTGGTCTCACCCTCTGCAAGCGCTGCACTTGACTTGTGAGTGAAGGAAGATCCTTTTGGGTGCTCAGCCAGGAGCCTGGGACCTGAGCCTGCCTGCTTTTCCTGGCCTGCAGTGATTGTGCTCCAGAGAAGGTTGGGGAATAACCAATAACCCCTGGCCCCTCATCTGCCAAGCAGCAGCCCTGCATGAGAAAAGAGCGAAAGGAAGGGAACCCAGCTGCTGTAAGGGCTGAGCTGCACATCAAAGTCTAATGGGCCACCTCAACCCCACTGATGCCTTTCACTCAGCTCTTCCCATTACCATGCTTATGCCTAAAACGTGTGCAAATTCCTTTTTGTAAAAACACTCCAGCAGTGGGGCCAGCTTGCCACTTTGCTGATATAAATCAAAGTTTCCATAAACTCTGTCTATTTTAATACCTTGTTTTTTAAAGGTTTGTCACATGCAAGCAAGGCAAGAAAACAAAACTGGCCATGTTCCAAAGTGTAATGCATGCCTCCATTAGTTGTTCTTTGCATCCAACCCAGTCCGGCCAGCAACTGCTCCCTGCCAAAGCCCCTCCTCCTGCTTATCCACTCGATGTAAAGTATTCCCATGCTATGGCAGAGACAATGAGAACCATTCCTATAGAGGGTACCAGTCCAGACAAAACATCAAAAGTCAGTCCAGGCAAAATAAAGATATGAGCTCCTGAAAAATGAGGGGAAATAAATGGGGAAGGTCCCTCTGCAAGCCTCAGATGTCCAGGGACTTGGATACACTCGGTTATCTCAGCCACAGGAGGAGACATAGAACACAGCACTGATGCTGGTGCTGTTGACCTTCCAGGAAAACAATGCTGAGATAACATTGGGCTGAACTTCAGAAGCACTGAGCCCTGGGTCCCCCCGCATGCTGGCTGCTCTTTTTTATCCTAATATTGCACATGAAGAGCTAGGTGGGAAGGAGTTTTTGCCACATACGTCATCAGCTCTTCTGACATCATCTAAAGGATGATTTTGGCTTTGAGAATCTTCCCTGCAGAGCTCCCAAGAACAGCTGGAATTGAGTAGCTGTAATAATCCTGGTGAGAACCCGCTGCAAACGTCAGAGCAGAGCATTCTGAACCCTTCTGATCACCAACTGCAATGCAAAGGCTACAACATATTTTCTCCTTTGATATTTTTTAACTGACCAAACCCTGCCCACATTTAAGTCGCTGGAAATCCTTCTTTCTGACCCAGTGAATGCAGCCAAGCCCCGGGGCAGGGAAGACCCATGGAATAGGCAGTGGCATTTCTATGGACGTGGGGCTTTGCCTTCAGTGCCACAGGGCTCTGCACACCTGGAGGAGGGAGAGATTGTTCAGCACCCAACTCCTCTGCAGTACAAATATAACATAAAAACACAGACCTTACACTTGCTCTATAACTAGAGGAGGGAGGAAGCTTTGCCGGCAGCAGAGCAGCATTATCTACAGTTCATTACAAATGCTTCATACCAGTGTTGTTAAACAGCAGCCCCGCCGGGGGAGAAGCTGTCCCACATCCCCCAGAAGTTATTTGGAGCAAAGTCAAAGCTTTGTAAAAGGCGTCGAAAGTTGCGATCAGGTGAAGTTAAATATCTGTTTATCTTTGGCTTTCCCTGGGCTTTGTTGATAATCCACATCCGACAGTGGAACGATCAGCTGCCACGTCTCAACCCGGAGCCCCACGGGTGGGTCGTGCTGTGCCACAGCCTCCTGTTCCCAGCGCATTGTTTGGGGCAGAACCGCAGCTCAGATTTCACCTTCTGAAAAAATCTGAGCAAGCCTTCTACACGAGGTTACATTAGCACCATTTATTGCAAAACAAGCTGTCTGAGTTCATTTTTAGGCACCAAAACGGAACGCTTCTTTGCTCGTCGGCAAGAGGTCACTCTTTGAAAACGCGGCGCCAAACAATGGGACTCCTGCTAATCGAACCTTTTGTCTTGGTGATGGTGGAGAAGCAATGAGAAATTGTGCAAAAGGGTGGAAAAAGCCCCAAGGATCTTAAGTCCGGGGGTGAAACAAAGGAGTGGTTGGACTACGGACTGCAGGGAGTTGTGCTTCATGGCAGCAGGAAACCCAACCGTGCAGGACAGGGGAAGCAGCACCAATTGCAATTCCCTCAAGTTTTCTCCCATCTCTCCCCCTGTATGTGCCAAAGGCATCGGGAAGGAGCTTACCTGTGCACTTCCTCTTAAAGGTTTCATAGTCTACCCCTTGGTCTCCGGGGACGATCGTAGAGCCGTTGTATTTAAACGTCACCCTTTGGGAAGGGGAAAAGAGAAGGGAGACGGGATTTAAAAGTCAGTCTTATGGAAGGCAAAGGAGGAGAAGGGGAGGAACGCATTCCAAAAAACATCCCGGGGAAAGGGGGAAGAGGAGCCGGGGAACAGAGGAGCATCGGTGCCCGTCCAGGAGATGCCGGCACCGCGGTGCACCTACCAGTTCACCTCGGTGGCATCGTCCCTGACGAGGTTGTACGCCTCCCTGCACGCCTCCTTGTCGATTTTGGTGGCCATGGGGACGTTCGGGGGAGCGGGCCGGCGGCCGCGGAGCGGCGCGGAGATGAGGACCTCCGCCGCTGCTGCAGCCGCACCGCACCGCGCAGCGCCGAGCCGAGCCGAGCCGAGCCGAACCCGCTGCCGCCACCGGCCCGCCCCCGCCGCGCCGCGGCTGCCAATGGCCCTCGCTGAGCCGGCCCTCGCCCGCCCCTCCTGGGGCCCGGGGGTGATGCAAGAGCCGGGGGGGGGATGCGGGGCTGGGCGGGCGGAGGGCAGGGGGGCTCTCGGGCCCGCCGCGGTGATGCGCGGAGCGGCCGCCGGTGTCCGCGTAGCCCCTGCGGGAGGGAGGAGGAGGAGGAGGAGGAGGAGAAGGAAGGAAGGAGGAGCGCCGCGCAAGATGGAGCAGCGGCGGGGCCCCGAGCCGGGGCGGGCGCACGGCAGGTAGCCGAGCGGGAGGCACGGAGCGGCGCGGTGCGCAGGTAGGAGAGGGGCTGCCCGCCCGTGCCGAGGGATGCCGGCGGTGCCGCCGCGCTGTGCGGGATGCCGCAGCCGCCCCGGCGCGCTCCGGACCGCTCGGCACCGCGGTGAACGGGAGCCGGGCTCTGCCCGCTGCCGGCCGCTCGGGGGGACGGGGCCGCAGCGCTTCAGGTGCGGGCGGCGGGGCGGCTGCGAGCGGCTCTGCCCCATTCGGATGCGGAGATCTCCCCCTGCCGGGCTCCGCTTCCAGTGCTGGAAAGAAACCCGTGAGTCAGTCCGCTAAAGGGAGACGGCGATTTTGGGGCGCAGTGGTGAGGACTGACTGCACTGTGCACGCACAGACGGGTCCTTGGCGCAGCGCTCCTCGGCTTGGAATAGATCGCACCAGATGTTGAGGACCAGAGTCTTAAAAACCACTCCTTGCACGTCTCAGTGAGAATCCACCAAACCCGGGACGTTGGATTTTGCAATTTTAATAATAAAAGAGACCATTCCATGATAAAAGCATCCCATCTCTTTCAAATTGATTACAATTTTTTTACAGTTTTGGGGGATTATTTTTCTATTCGACACATTGTCTGTATAGTCTGTAAATGGAAAGCCTGAACCGTTTAGAAACCTCATTGCCACTCAGCATTTCCAGAGTCCTCAGGGAGGATCACCTGTGTTACCTGTGGGATGCATCACTGAATGCCACACAGTGTGAAGCCCCAATCCTGCCAGCAGTCTCCTCCATGCTCTGGAATGACGTGAGCTTTGCTATGGAGTCGGGGCCCCAAATGTGAGCTTATTGCTGCAGTGCATTGCTGTGATGAAGGTGATGTCATTGGGGACAGAGGAATCTTTGGGCAGGCAGCACAGGTGTAGCACACAGCATGCGGGTGCGTGGCACTCCATACAGTAGGCTCTGGATGATGCTATCACCACACATTAATAGGTCTGAATTTCTATTGATTTCCTTTTGGAACACATTTTCTATATATATATATATATATATTTAAAGTCTTTATGCTGACCATGAGTGCTCATAAAAAAATATGTTTTTTTCTTAGTCTGCATTCATCATCCATTGGCACTACTGCTATTTATACACGTCCCAGCTGACTGTCCTTGTCTCATCCTCAGCTCCCCGCGTTTCCTGGGGGACGGTGGGTGACCAAAATGGCATTTCCCATAGAAGGAGAAAAGCTCCATCTCTATCATCTCTGCTATGGCCCAGGAGCTGGAATGTTCCAATTGCATTCACTGGGTTGTATTCTACCCCTCGTATTCAATGCTTCCTCATAGGACCGACCCTTTCCCTTTGCTTCTTTGCCTTTAACACATTTTCACGGATTATTTTTTTTTTCCTTTTAACGCACGGAGGGGAAAATAACCCGCATTTCTGGCTTCAGCGAGCCCTGATACAGGAGTTTGGAGACTTCCACCTTCTGCACATGGCTCTTTTTTCCTGCTGGGCAGGAAGCCGTTGGTTGAACTGGATATCGTTTCCAACCCTAACGATGCGGGCAACGGCGCCGGCACTCCGAACATCCGCGTGTCCCGTGCGCCCGGCAGCACCGCCGGCATCCCGCACCGCCGGCACCGGGGCCGCGCTGACGCCTCCGCGGCCGGGCTGGATCCCGCCCCTGCAGCACCCCGCCGCCATTTGCTCGCAGCGCGGTCTCCCCGCCCGCTCCGGGGTTGGAGCAGCCGAAGCTCTGCCTCCTGCCCGTCCCACTCCCGGCCCCGGCCTGCCCGGAGCGCCCAGCACGGCGCCCGCGTTTGCTGGGCGAGCCATGGCCGCGCGGGGCGGCTGCGCGGCGGCCGGCGGAGCGGGTTTTCCCCGCGGGAGCGCCGAGCTCTGGTAATGACCTCCTTCTTCCTCCCCTTCCCCTCGGCCCGGCGAGCCGAGCTGGCCCCGCTGCTCTCCTCCCCTCTGCGGGCCGTGGGAGCGGGGAGGCGCGGCCGCTCCTCCCTGGGGCTCGTCCTGCCGCCGGTCCTTCGCGGTTCCTCGGGCCGGGGTCGGCGCTGCTGGGGCTGCCCCACCTGTGGGCGTCGGGGTCCGGAGCCCGGCCGTGTTCCCCAGGAAGGAGCGGTCCTTTCCCCGGGCAGCTGTAGCGGGGACGGGCGGTGCGGGTAAGCGCTGTGTCATCAGTATTTCGTGCACCGCTCTTCGGTTGTGTCCTATGGCGCCCAACTTGTTGACGCGATGAGCGTTGGCGAGAAAGGAAAGAAGACCCACCGCGAATGGATCATATCGGTGTATAACGTTGTTACGGCGCTTTGAGGTGCGCTGCTGACCGCTTCTTTCTGCCTTTGTTCCAGAAGCTCCGCGGCTCAGCCCGCCATGGAGAGCACCAGGCAGACCAGGATTTGCCGCCCGCACAAAATCAGCGAGTCCTCGAAGGTTGGTTTGTGTTCTGTGCCAATAAGTGAGGGGAATCTCCTTTCCATGCGCTACTGGGATGGAAAGCGAATGTTCTGAGCTGTTAGAAGGACGTGTGAGAGCAGCAGTGTGCCTGCACACAAGTCTTTGATTTCAGAAGCAAGTTGCTCTCTAATGGTTTTGTTTCGTTTTTTTAAAGAAAAAAAGCAGCAGCAGCGAATGAAGAGCTGCTCATCGTGACTCATAACTTAGAAAAGAAACCCACACCATCACAGCAGTGTTTGCTCTGCGCCAAAGCTTCACTCATTAAACGAGATTTATTTTGGGAATTTTACGTATTGATCCATCTCACCAAATCAAAGCTAGGATTACTTTTCAGATGTCACCTTCATTCTGTAGATGAGAGCCTTGATCCCACAGGCAGCTGTTCTGAGGAACTCAGGGTTTCCTTAGGTTTGCAAAGGTAATTGTTTTGGTATATGAGATCTCTGTCTGAAATAATCCATTGGCCCCAGTTGGGAATCTGCAGAAGGCCCTTTCAGGTGAGCTGAAGATGATGACCTCGGCTTTGCAAGCTGTTAACATAGCACTAATTACTGCGTTCACTTTGTTTCGTACCAGTGACATTTGGTTCTGGTGTGAGCACTGGGTGCTGCAGGCAATGAACCTTTCACTGCCAGCAATTGCTACAATTTCCAGTGCCCAGATCTGTGTTACCAAACTGGAATGAGACAGATCTCATGTCCCTCTGCCTCCCTCAAGAGTCCTGGTGCTGCTTTAACAGTCTGGAGGACGTTAATTACATCTTTGAATCCAAAAAGTTAACATTCTAAAAGCTATAATAACGAAAGATAAGGGATAAACAGAACAGATCTTTAAATGCATCCCTAGCAATGTCATCTTCTCCTGGGTGCTGGACCTGCCTGCCATTTTCGTGGTTTATTCTGAACGTACCAATGATTCATCTTATTAAAAATGAATTAAGTTGACAGCATTGTTTTGTTTTCTTGTTTAGACAGCAGCTGTCACTCTGTTGAACTTGGTGGTATGGATGATGCTGAAGCTGTCCTGGGGTGTATATATAATATAATATATAATAGCTTGCGAAAGCTGCTTGTATTTATCATAAAATTTGTCTTGCTTTAGAAAAGTGCAGCTATCAGCTTCTGTCATTTGCTCACTGTACGAATGGAAGTGTGAAGCAGCTGCAGTGTGGTAATACATTCCAAGTCCCTCCAGAGCCACACACAATTTTTATGCTTGCTTTCTGAAGTAGCAGCAGTTCCACACAGCAGCATGGGTTTGAGCAGTACAGGTTGTGCTGTGTGTTTGTGGTCAGGATTATTGCTGCTGACTGCACAGCTGGTTAAGTCAGTAGGAATCTCTGGCAACTCCTGCAGCCTGGTGTAATCTCGTTATGCACAATGGTGCCATTAGGGAATATCAGAGAAATGATCAGCCACTTACAAAGACTTATAAAAACATACAGCTATGCTTTGGGTTTAATCCGATAACTTTATCCTGTGAGTCAGACTCAGAGCAGGGCGATGTTTATTGTCTCTTGTCCTCTGTCCTTCACCATAGCTGCTGCAAATGTATGGTCTGTCCTTTACTGCTTTTATTCTTCTTCCCACCTCCTCCGCTCCCTGAACTCTGCTTGAGCATCTTCATTTCTCAAGATAAGGAACACGAAGATGAAACTTTCTAAAGCTTAAAACCTGTGTATTTTCTTCTGGTGCCACTCTCGGGCAGTGTTACTGTTCCCTCAAAGTTACCATCTTCAGTTCAGAGAATATGATGAGGCAGAGTGTGAGAAAACTGAAGAGTTTAGGCCCAGAAAACTTAGAGTTATTGAAACCCCATCACTTGGGTTGGTTTAACTCTGTGTGTTTGTGTGTAGAAAGTTACCCCAACAGAAGCTTTGTGGGAGCTTAGCCACCATTATTTAGACAAGAATATAAGCAAAACCCAAGGGAGACCAGTTGGCTGTCACTGAGACATCTGGTAAAAGTCCCTTTAGTCGAAGTCTAAATAGAGAAGCAG